GTAATCTCTCCCACCACTGAAATCAATTCAATCTTAGCTTAGACAGGGACCAGTTCTTTCTCCTGCCCCAGCAGCAAATCCTGACCATGAACTATTTTCGACAATGGTTTGGATGCAGACTTCAGTCAGTGTTAGAAGAGACCCACTGAAAACTGGGATATAAATGAATCAAGACGAAACAATGAGGGCATTAGGATGTTCTAAAGATGGCCTGATTAGTAATCAGGCTTGGTTCCTCACAACAAGGCTCAATTAAGTGCAGTTTGCCCTACAATTAATGGCAAGGCTGTCCTATCCCACCCACTGCATCTATTCAATGAGGGTTTAGAAACAAGCACCATTCTTTCCTGTGCGGAAAGTCTTTTCCTGTGCCAAGAATGTTAAAAACAGGCAGTGAATTAAATCTTGGACCAAGTAGAGCTTCCAAGGTTGAGTCATTCTCTGGAAAGTAGGGCTCTTCCTGGGCCAGGATCAAGAGGCTGGGAGCTTTCCGCCCTGGTGATTGGCTTGGGGAAGGGAGAATTGGAAGGCCGTGGAAGGTCTGGATTTAGGAAGCTGGCTTTATGGGAAATGTCTGAAGGTTTCCCAGTCAAGTGGGGCAGCTCCACTTTCAAGCCTTCAGCTGAAAAAAAAAAAGGGGGGGGGTTAAGGCAGTTCGTCAGAAGCCCACCCGGCAGATTAAAAAGGGGGGTGGGTGTCTGCAGGGCTGGCCGCTCATAAGGCACTTGGGATGTTCAATCTGGAGACTGAGAGGAGACCTCAGCATGCAGGTCCATAAAAGAGTGCTATTGGGAAGAAGGTCAGGAACTCTTTTTCATGGCTGCAGAAATGAGGACCAGAAATAATGGGTGGAAATTACAGCAGCCAAGATTTCAAGTAAATATAATGAAAACTTCCTGATGGTAAGATCCGCCCAACTGTCTATGGCAGCGTTTCTCAACCTTGGCCGCTTGAAGATGGGTGGACTTCAGCTCAGTGGGCATTATGGCCATTTCGAATCCCACAATTCTGTGTTTCTGTAGTAGATGGGAAGCGACACGACTGCAGTTCTTCCCGTAAGCCTATTCAGATGAGGACCAATTAAAA